TCTCCCACCTTCCGCGCCCCTCAGCGAAGCGGACCCCCTCCCCCCGCGCCTCTCAGCGGCGCCATCTCCCTCCTTCCGCGCCCCTCAGCGGTGCGGCCTCCCTCCTTCCCTGCCCCTCAGCGCCGGTAGTGAGAAATCCGGGTCCCAACTTTCCCTCCTTGCCTCCTCTACCGTCTGTCTTACCCTGGAGATGCTGATGCGCTCCAAATAAAATAAATCCAGCTCTTAGCGGTTCTCCTCGGCCCGTCGCCGGGCCGCAAGTCCCAATTCTAGTCCCGCAAAATGTGGGGCGACACTCCTCAAGCAGTTCCCTGAGGAGACCTGCCAAGGAGAGACTAGAGGAAGGGATTCGAGTGTCTCAGACAGAAAGTTCATTGCAGGCTGAGGGATTTTACTCAAAATAATAGATTTCTGTCTGTTAGTCGTAGCGGAAGGGACTTAGCAACTTTCCACTAATTGATAAATGTTAAAATAGCTGGTTTAGGGGAGGTAAGAATAGTAATAATTAGGGGTTACGTGCTTTATATAAAGTATCTGTAATCGTCACAAGAGCTCTGCAAGATAGAGCTCAGTGCCACACTTGTGTTTTACAGATGAGGAAACATCCAGAGGAATAACATCGCTGATAAATGTCACAGCTACGTTTGTATCCTCAGTCTTTATAGAACCTCTCTGGTGGTATGAATAACCCCAGAGATTGTGTGAATATTTGAGTGACTATCTCCAGAGTTAGTGGCATATTTGTTAGTAGGGCTGCTCCCTTTTATTTTACCCAGTGGGACCGATCTAATGCTAACTAAGCTTTTTCTACGATAGTAAAGCAGTGGCAAAAAGAAGTCAGGTGGAATCTGTATACTACGTTTTCTTAATGTTTCTTAATGTTCTCAGGAAAGCTACAGTAAGTGATTAATTATGCTGGAAACAGTGGTTTATTGTTTAGCTTTCTTTGGGAGAAACCGGTTTGATAATAGACCTTGTTTGCCTTTCAAAAAGTCATTTCATGAAACTTCCCTTTCCATTTGAAATAGTAATAGTAATAATTCTACTACTTTGAAGAGTTCAAAGCAGCAAATAAATGGAATTACGGAGCTAGTTGGATGGGAAGGTTGTAAGTTTGGTGTAAACATATTCAATATAAAGTGATAATGGGATATCTGAATAGAAATTCCCAGAACAGTTGAAAATTCAGAATTTGTGTCCAGTTTAAGGAACAGAACTGGAGACATTGATTTATGGGCCACCAGCCTAGTTAAAGTCATAAGAAAATGGATGAAATGTTTTATGGCAATAAGGGAAACAGTCCAAGGACTGATCATGAATGATGGTAAGGAAAGCCAGAGAAGCACTGGGCATGGGCTATAGAAACTGAGAAACCATTTTAGTCAGGATATGATTTGTTTCTTTTTTAATAATTTAGTAGATTTTTGTAACTGGCAGTGCCTTCATGAGGGAGGAAATTCACAAAGTAAAAAAGAGAACAAAAAGTTTTTACCTGGCGCTGAGATAGATGCTGGGGATATAAAGATGAATAAGATTCAGCTTTCCCCTCAAAGGAGAGAGAGAACTTTAGCAGATCATTTCAATTGGTGTGATAAATCCTGGAATAAAGATACGTACATATGCATCATAGCATATAGGGCAGCCCTGTAAACTCAAGTGGAAGAATGTGAAAGTCGTTATGGACTGGTCGTAGAAGGAATCCTAAAGATAACAGGCAAGATGTGTGTTCGGCAAGGGGATCAGTTAGGAGGCCAGTATAATAATCCACTTGAGTCCATGAGGGCCCTGAACAGTACTATAGGAGGGGAAGACACATGTTAAACATTTAGAAATAAAATTGGTGAGACTATGTGATTTGCAGTGGAAAATTAAGGAGAGGGAGAAATCGACAAAGTTTCTAATTTGTGTGACTAGGAGATGGTACCAAGAGACAGAGCAAGTTTCAGGGAGATGACAGTGAGTTTACATTTACATTTATTTATTTTGAAATATTGGTGGTATATCAAAGTGGAAATGTCAAGTCATTATTTGGATATAAACACTTCCCTCAGACTGAGTGTGAGAGGTCAGGGTTGGAGATAAGGTGTTACGAGTCATCAGCTCGTTAAAACCCTGAGTGTAGATGAGATGGCACAATGAGAACTTAAGGAGGAAAAAGAAAAATAGACTGTGGATGAAATCTTGAAAACTGCTGCTAGTAAGGGCAGATAGAATAAGATGAAGAAGACTGAAAAAGGAGAAACAGAAGAGGGGGAGTGTCATGGAGATGGTTTCATGTAAGAGTGAACACTAGTAACAGAGATGACATTTACATCCTTAGCTGCGTTGGCAGGAGCCATTTGAATGGATTAGTAGGAATCCAGGAGATAGTGGAAATGGGAAAAGTAGAAAATAATAGATATGAGCTATACTTTAGAGTTTGGCTGCATAGAAAAAGGATATATGGAATATATATATATTCTTTTTATATGCAGGATCAAGAAATTAGGGTTTTTAAAAAATTACTCATTTTATTAATTTGGGGGAGGAGTAATTAGGTTTATTTATTTATTTACTTTTAGAGGAGGTAATGGGGATTGAACCCAGGACCTTGTACATTCTAAGTATGAACTATACCCTCCCCACTAAGAAATTAGGTTTTAAGTTTAGGTTCAAGGATCAAGCAATTAGTTTTTAAGGTTAAGAAAGAATGGAACATGTTAACAAACAGAGAGGAGAAAGTTTAAAGACATGTAAGAGCTGGATAATACCACAAGGAAATTGGGGTAGAGATGGGGGAGAAGGATGTAGGCAAGGATAGGAAAGCTAATGTCCCAGAGGAGCTGGGATCAAGAGGATAAATTAGAGACTGATCTTGAATGAGAGAAGAGATGGCTATTGAGATTGGAGGAGGGTGGGTACAGGTTAAATTTGTGTACTTCAAATGTAGTGGATTTCATGTCTTAGTTTTCTTAGAAAATTGAGTCATCTGCAGAGAGTGGCAGGAACCAGAGTTTAGGTGGGTATGTGGGTAAGAGCTGGAATCATCAAGGACAGAGTAGCTTATCAAGAATAAATAAATTAATTTCTGAGATGAGGGTCCACCTAAGTTTGGTGACTCTGACCTTGCAGTTCTTCAGTCTGCACAGTTTGGAATTTTCATCAGCAATGTTCAGCAGTTCAGGATGGATGTAGAGGAAGATTTCTGATTGTGCCAGATGGGTTGAAAAAGAGTTTGAGGATGCAGATTAGTTGTTAGTGCTCATGAGACAGTAGTTTTGTGTTGAGAAGGAAAAGAGTCCTTGAAACTGACCTCGGCAAGTTCATTAACCGTTTTTAGGGTGTGGGTTCCAATGGACATTTCAGTGTTCATTTTGAATTCCCAGCAGAAAATGGCATGGCTGACCATTCCTGCCTTCTCTTTGAATGTGTCAGAGATGACACACATTCTCCTGGTTTTTCTGTTTGGCTTCTGTGTCTTCATTTTCAATTTCTTGTACTAGTTACCCCTTTTCTGTGCAATCTGTATGTATTGGCATTACTCAGGCCAGAATCTTGGGCCCTCTTTTTCTCTCTTCTCATTCTCTCTCTAGTTCAGTATCTTTAAAACTCTTTTGAACATGACAATACATTATAGACCAGTACACCTAGATGTGTAAATTTATGTAAATATAACTGAAACAAAAATTGAGTGACACAATACCCTTCCTATTTGCAGTGAGCTCTCTTCTGTTTTTATTTCATATATAAAACATATTGCTTATAACCTGCTAAATTGTTTTCATAAGCCATAATAGGTTATGACCCATAATTTTTAAAATGTTATTTTAAATTATCAGCTAAAACTTTAAATAACATTATATTCTGATCAATAAAAGGGGGCTGTTAATCTGGGAGAGAATGAGTGAATAAAGGAAGTGGCTTAAGGGGAAGTGTAGTGAGAACAAAGGTGAGAAAAGTGTAGGAGAGATTAAGGCCAGAGAATAAAGTATTTCAATTAATATTTTTGAGATAAAGCAATTCTAGATGATGAAAAGCCCCAGATCTGGCCATGGCTATGAATGACGGAAATGGAGTCGAAATGATTACTGAAATTTAGGTCAGGCAACTGTGAATCTAGAATGTTGCATATTGAATCCAGTATCCATATGTTGGTGGTATTGGAATAGAGAGACTGTGAACATGATATGAAGGACTCTAGCAAACATAGGGGAGAGATTAGGAGATCCCTAGATAAAAGCAACCAGGAAAGATCCAAAGCAGTATAGTTGATTATTTGTACCTCAAGGGAAAGGAATCCTGTATTTTTTAAAAGATTTGAAAGAAGAATGTTTTGACAGTGACATTGGGGAACAAGGAAAGTGCTGTACACTCCTTCTTTGCCTTGAAATTGTGGGACAGGAAGCTAAAACAGCTTTCACTTCCCCTGGGGAAGATGGGATCCTGTTGAGGTGAAGAGTAAAAGGAAGTGTTTATAAGGATTGAGAGTATATGGGACCAGAATGCAGAGAAAAGACTGGGAGAGAAGAATGATAATTGGTTATACCAGGAGAGAAAACTACTACAGTACGGGATGAGAGCCCAGGAGAGAGATAACTAGAGGGGCTTACATTTTGATAAGATAATAGGGAAATGAGGAAGGCATGTTGTAATAAATGATTTCATGGTTCTAAATGGAGCATTGATGTCAAATTTGAACAAAATTAAAACAGGCTTAACTTTACGTAGTGGTACCTGGAATGGCAATTTACAAGAAAAGTCACTGTGGATTAAATGTTTAGAGGAAGGGTATATGGTTCACTACTATCTTGCTATTGAACATATCAAAGGAGAATTGAAATATAACTTGTTTCCAAACAGTGGTTAAAGTGAGCAAACAATGGCCAGTAATCACAAACCTTCAGGAGCTCGCCCTGTTTCACGAGGTGTGATTGGGTTGACAGGAAGGCCTCCTTCTGGAATTCGACCCCCATCAGGAAATATTCGAATGGCAACTGGAGTAAGTTTAAACTGATTATTGAATTACTGTGCATGTATCCTGGTAGGAGTTGGAAAGCCTGTCTATAATGAGAGATTCTTCTTTGTTTTTCTGTATTCTGTATGCATAATATTATGTAAGTGTGTTTTTGGAAAACATCTAGAAATATAAATTTGGGAGAATGAAAGACACTGTTCAGAAAAGATGCCTGCTCATGCTGATATTCAAATTTATTTTAAAGCTATAATAATTTAAGTGGTGTAGTGTATTGGTGCCAGAATCAAGTGAAATGGAATAGACCAGAAATAGAATCAGACATGTCAGAATTTAATTAATGATTAAGGTGGCATTTCAGATTAGTTGCAAAAGCATGGAGTGTTCAATAGTGCATTCAAATAATGTTAAAACATTTGTTTTAGAAAAGTAAATCCCTCCCTCACACAAAATTCTAGATATTTTAGAAATTTTATATTTAAAGAATGAAACTATAAATGTATTAGAGAAAAATATAAGCAAGTATTTTGTATAAACTTGGTGTGGTCTAGGCCTTTGTAAACATGACAGGAAACATCAAGTAATGAAAAGGAAAGTATTTTTACATGTATATATTTGAGTTTATAAAAATTGCATACACATTTAAAAAGTTCAAAGAAAAATGACAACTTGGTAAAAAAATATTTATAGCATTCATGTCATACAAAGAGTTCATAATCTTAATTAAAATGAGAAAAGATAGTTTACTCATATGTGAGGGTTCTTTCTGTATTAAGACTATAAACCCTATGTCCAATCAGAATTCCTTGAGATTTCTTTTGGGGTATGGAAAGGAATATCATTACAAAACTATTCAAAAATTCACCTAGAACGATACAAAAGCATAAATAAGAAAAGTACAATATTCTAATGTAAAAATATACTATAAATAATAAGTGAAACAATGTTCTGGTTGCCACAGCAGCCTAGAAACAAACTAGTAAATGTTAAGAGCTTAATGCAAGATAAATCAGTGAATCAGTAAGAGGAATATACCACATTAGAAAAAATTGGTAGATTTTATAAATTGATAGTGCTAAGCAGAAAAATATCCTGTAAGGATATTTATTTCATTTTTATTGTAATTATAGAAGTGAAAATTTGAAAATAGCCTAAATGACCTTACAACCCGGTAAATCTGAAGTAAATTATGTTATGTCTATCCTTGATAGATAGTCATTAAAAATTATTTTCATAAAATATTTGAGTAAATAATATATCTTTATAGTACAATGTTAAAATGTGAAAAGCAGTATGGTATCAATTTAACATAAAGATGTACATTTATATGTACATAAAAATGAATACACCAAAATCCTCATAATATTTTCTCTGATGATCAGAACAGATGGATTTGCCTACCTCGTAAGGTACAGATGAGGTACTCAAGCTCAAACAGTAGACTAATTACAGACTAGAGATAGTACTGGGTCCTGTGTTTAATTCATAAGGACAGCAATTTTTGGAGGGAATAGTTTTAAGTTTTCTTAAAGTTTCAGATTTTTCTAGAGTTTTAGGTAGTATTAGCAACATCATCATCAACTTATACTGAAGTTGATTTTTCTAAATTTTTTACATATATATGTTACTGAGCTAGGGTATCTTATTGTTATTCTAGTACGAATTTATACTTAATTAAATATTTATAAAAGGAATCTGAAATTTATTGGCCACCTACTCTTTGCTGGATGCTTTAACTATTTAATGTTTGCAGTTTTTAAAATAATAATACTTGTTGGAAAACATACAAAGAAAAAATGTCAGAGTTCCCTCCTTCTACCCCAGGTATAACCATTGTCTAAGATGTGACATGTATCCTTCTAGACTTTTTTCTGTCCGTTTATAAACACTAACACATACATATGTAATGGTATAGTTTTAGTATTTTTCAAATTGAGGATAATGCTGTTCATATAGATTCTTACCTATCTTATCCTTTTCTTTCAATAATGTAAAAATATTTCTGTGTGAATACATAAATATATACTTCATTCTTTTTAATTTGTGCAGTTTTAATTTGTACCTCTCTATATTTTGATCTGATAAAATTTTAAACAAGTGTATTATCCAATATTCACATAATTTTAAATATTAATTTTGTTAAATAAAATTTCAGACATTCAAAAGTGTAAGGAAAATTTTACAAATTATATAGAATCTTTATCTTTAAAAATATCCTCTTTGCAGTTTTGACAATTTTAGAGGCACTGTTTTTCTAGTTTAATAAAACTGTAATTTTGTTTGTCATTTAGATGCCACCTGGAACAGCAAGACCAGGTTCCCGTGGTGGTCCCATAGGAACAGGAGTTCTGTCTTCTCAAATCAAAGTTGCCGATCGTCCTGTAACACAGCAAGGTTTGAGTGGAATGAAAACTGGGATGAAAGGTACCTATTTTAAGAAGATGAATATATTTTGTATAAGAATTATTACAGTACCATATTATTAAGTCAGAATTTTAGAGTGAAAGAGGCTGTTTTACTCAATTCTTATTCCTTGATTCACAAAATTGTTGTAAGGGTTAAAATAAGAGAATGAATGTGAAAGTTCATTGTGAACTAGGGAGTTACATACATATGTGAGCTATTTTAATCTTCATTTTCCTGAACATGAAACTTTGCTATAACTTAAAGAAGTGTGAAATAATTTGAAGAAAAGCTCAGGAATGAAAATTAGGTTTCTATTATTTTCTAGAAATATTCTGAAATATTTTTTGTTTGTTTCCATGTCAAAATGACACTAGTAAGGTATTTTTATATTTATGAGAAGCGAGTCAAGAGGTGTTACTTTTGGTAATAATTAATATTCCATTTTAATGCTTTAAGTAAGGAAGTGAGCCTGACACGTAGATTTATACTGCATCTCTCATTATGCCTCTCTGTATGTGTTTAGAAAGGCATAATAATAACTCTATATGTTATGAATCAAGAAGTTGGTCTATAACATATAAATAAATCAACGCATGATGAATGAACTATTTTATAATGAATTTGTAGTTTTCTGTATTTGTGCAAATGACTTATCAGGGATAAAGATACTCTATGGGTACAAAACTAATTAGAAGATGTTTATAAAGTTTTTATGTTTAATATTACTTATTTAAAAACATTAAGTATAGAAACATACTGTAATTCTATAGAGAATTCACCAAATTTTATTACTGAATTACTGTGTTAATTTCTCCTTCAAAACAAAACCAGTATTATTTAAGATAGACATTGTCTACCAATATATTTCAAGGCCTTATGTGAGAGAGTTCTGATTGTTACCACCATGCACCACTGCTGTGACTTTTGTTCTTGCCTGGTCCAGTGCATTTCCCATCCTAGTAAGACATTCTCTCCCTCTTCTCAGCATAGACCTCAGTCAGTCCTCTCTAGCGTTTTCTCTCATGCCTTGCAGGGCATTGCACCTCTTCAAAGTTTGGTACACAACCTAGGAATATTTTTTTTGGTTCTACTGAAATGTAAGATCATGTTTCTAAAAAAGTTTCTGAAACAAATTATGAAAAATCAAAATCTCCTGCATACATTGAGAAATTCATAGTCTAAATCTGCACGGTCCATTATGACAGCCAACAGCTACATGTAGCTGTGTAAATTTAAATTAATTAAAGTTGGGTAAAATAAAAATTCACTTCCCAGTAGCACCAGCCACTTTTCAAGTGTTCACTATTCTGTGGATACTTTACTGGACAGTGCTGATATAGGTTATTTCCATTGTTGAAGGAAATTCTCTTGGCCTGCCCTGTTCTAGACTCCCTTAGGCCCAGTTTCTATTCATTCGACCTGATCCGCGGAATCCACTGTCTTAACAGCCCCACACCTAGTCCCGTCTTTGTAGTCTTAATTCAAGCTTCCATTATGTCATGATACTAAGATACTAGTTCTCTTTTCCATTTAAGCTTCTTGATTTTCAGATTTACTGAGGCATTTTTGAGGACTATGAGAGAATTGTGTAGTGTAATTTTGGTTGTGTTTTGGATTTGCTATTTTGATACCATTTTCAAACTGAACACTAATACTTAAAAAAATTTTTTTAGGTCCCCAGAGGCAAATTTTAGACAAATCTTATTATCTTGGGCTTCTTCGGTATGTTAAATACTTTTTTTCCTATGCATGATCATGAAGTTTTAACTATGGTACTTTTTAAGATAATTAGGTATCTATTTATTTTTAAGAATTATTTTGTATTCTAACATAGTTCTTGGTTAATTTGGCTATAAATAGATGTCATCACCAAATAGATGAGATAATACAGTTAGGCTGACATTTTAAATCTTATGTATTTGAATATATATGAGCTATATATTTCAAGTTCACTATTTTTCATCTAAAGATAAAAATAATCTTTTATACTTCTTTCACTAATTATTCCAAAATACATTATTCATATATCTATTAAGAAAGAGAAAATATATATACTTACTTATAATATATTAATTAGTACAGAGTTTCACATAATGTATATTTGGTCAGTTGCTGTAAGTATGGCCTAATTTTAATTAATTCATAAGCTTTGTCATTTATCTCTAAGTATGCAGGTCTAAATTAAGAACTTTTTTCTCTTTCTCTACTTAACTTTTTCTCTTCTCAGATGTCCTACTATCATCCTATCTCCATTTTCCATTTTACTTCATTTTCTTGTTGGCTCGTCATCTGTATCTTTTCTCTCTTACTTGCATTCTATTTAACGCATTCTTCTGTCATGTCCTGAAGGCTCTGTTTTCTTTATTGGTCCTTCTTAACTCTTGTTGCTCAACTATCTGAAACATTTTTATTCTTAGACTCCTAGAAGGCAATAGGAGGATAGGTTTTCCCCATCTGTCCTCAAAACTAACATCCATAGGAAAGATAGGGAGGCCATCAGTTGGATAGCATCTTTTGCTATCCAGCCACTTTTAATCAAAAAAAGGAAAGGAAATAAGCTATTTCTCATTACTGAATTGCCTCTCTTCTCTAGGATTTGTCCTTCTGTATTAAAAACAGTTTTACCTATTTGTGTAATTGACTCTAGAGTAGTAGTTCTCAACTGACAGTGATTTTTGCCACCCAAGGAACATTTGGCAACTTTTAGACAAATTTTTGGTTGTCATAACTGGGATTGGGAGGATGTGCTGCTGGCATCCAGACCAGGGATGCTGTTGAATATCCTGCAGTGCACAGGATACTCCCCCACCCCCCACCAAAGGATTATTTACTCAAAGACCTAAAATGTCAATAGTGCTGCTTTTGAGAATCCCTGTCCTAGAGGATAGCAAGAGCTGTTAGTGTGACAATTAGGCGTCTACTTCTGTCTGAGGATTGTACCAATTTGACCAGGTTTTCATTCTGATACTGTTTCATCTTTTTTAATGGTTTGAAAACCTGTATCAGTTTATCACTGGGATATAACTCCTTCTTAATCAAATTAGTCACTTAAATTGTTTTTCTTTTTTTGGTGAAATTTCACAAAATCATTTATATCATTGTTGCACATTTATGAAAAGCTTATTTTGTTTGACTAGAAAGACTCTTCCAGAGTGGGAATACTGCTGACTTTTTAATTTCTTTTCACTTAGAAGTAAAATAAGTGAGCTTACAACAGAAATTAATAAACTTCAGAAAGAAATAGAAATGTACAATCAAGAGAATTCAGTATATTTGTCATATGAAAAGAGGTGAGTAATTTTGCAGTTACAACATGCAAGATTTTTTTGTTAGTAACATTTAATGTAATATGTTTCAGGAGTTTAATACTAAATTTATAGTTATCATAATATTCATAACATTCATCTGCCTATTTATGTATTTGTGAATGTATTTATTTTATGTTTACAGAGCTGAGACTTTAGCTGTTGAAATCAAAGAGTTTCAAGGACAACTAGCAGACTACAACATGGTATTTGGTCTTTTCTGAGAGAATTTCCTTTGAATATTTTCATTGCTTTTTACCACTTTAAAAAAAGTTATTTTAAATACCAAATAATACATGCATACATGCTTATTGAGAAGGATTTAAACCATGGAAAGTATAGAGATTAAAATATCCTTTTGCATTCTCCCTCATTTCCCTTCCCAGGAATAATTTGTCTTAACAGATTGACATGCATTCTTCCAGTCTTTTTTAAAAAAAAATTTACTTAAAACTACAGAAACACACACACTTTTTTCCCTAACAATATTAAAACAGTAATTTTTAAAATAGTTAAAATTTGTTGGGAACTAGCAATGTCACTGGTTTAAAAATTTTATTTTTCTATAGAGTCTTATCATAAAATTTTAAATACTGAATTACTTAGTATGTAGAATACCTTCATCTGATGTTTCATTCAAAATACAGTTTTTGCCTTCTGTCAAAATGAAGTAAGTATCTAACATAAAAATAGTTCCACCAAAGATGCTTCCTAATGTGAACTTCCAGAAGAAATAATCCCCTTGACAGTGTTGATTACTGCCTCAATCTTTGGGGGGATCTTGGCCCCATGAAAATGTCTAGTGTCAGAATTTTCTTCCTTCCAACTCTGTAGGTGCTTTACTTGCTGAAAACTTTAGACTTACTGAAAACTGTTATCTCACTTCTCCTATTAAAAAGTAGTGTTGCACAAAATAAAAAACATGCTACCATAATGGTTAGGTAAATTATGATATACCTACTTGATATTGTTATATTGTACTCATAAACAATATTTTTCTGATTATAGTATAATTCTCTCAGTATTTGTTGGACTATATAATCCGTAATATTCTGTGCAGTTTTTTTAGTCAATAATGTTCTGTTCTAAATATGGGGAAAATAGTTTTTTATAAAATATTAAACATTAGATAAAAATATATAAAAGGGATTTCTATTTGTACTACAATGCATTAGGTAAGTTACTTAATATAAAAATATTAATAAATGTAAAATATGCTATTTGTAGGTTTAAAAAGCTAACATCTGATACAGAGAAAGCACTTAGTTAGCCAGGTATTTAACATATAGTAAGACCTCAATAAATACAGATCTTAGTAGCACTTATTATTTATAACACAAGTGAAAATGTGATGTGTACTAATATATATTACATTAATAAAGCTTAGTCTTTTAGAATCAGCTATATTCAAATAGTTTTCTTTTCGTAGCCTCCCTATTCAACTTCTGTGTCCACAACTTGCTAAATTTCTGTATCTACAAAATGTGGACAATAATGTCTACTTCATAGAGTAATTGTGAAAATTAAGTGAAATAATACATATAATAGGCTCAGAATAGTGTTTGGCACAAGGTAAATAGGTAAATATGTTAACTGTCATTGCTTAACTTTTTGAAGTAGGCTTACTAGTGTTCTGTTTGTGCCTTACCCTGTTGATGTTTTTAAAATTTAAAAATTTTTTTTAATTTGTAGAAGAACCAAAAAAAATCATTTTACATTTTCACTCATGTAAATTTGTAAATGTGTTAACGCTCCCCCCCTCTGAACAAAAAACAGAGTGAGAGATCTTCCCCCAAATTTTGTCTCCTTTGCATCTTTCTTCTTTAAGCTCAGACATCTTTCCAGAGCAGGCAAAGCTCTTTGAGATATGATCTGCAGGAAGAATAGTTCATTACTGCTTACTTTTCTATGCTGAAAATGTAGTTTACTGATTGCCCTAATGCATAGTATATGCTTACTTAGGTAACTCAATATTTGTTTTTGTCTTAGAAGATAAGATACTTGAAAGTATTAATACTTAAATGACTACTCATTATTTGTAAGGTTGAACACCTATGCTATTGATTATAGAGTAAATTTATGAAGACTAATAGAATTTTTTTTACTTTTGCTTTTAGTTGGTGGATAAACTTAATACTAATACTGAAATGGAAGAAGTAGTGAATGATTACAACATGGTAAGAAACTTATAAGTATAAGCAATAGATCTACAGAGCCTCCAAAACAAAGCACTTACATCTAGAAATAATTTGATAAAACATTATGGACCTTAGAGATAGGTATTATTCTGATCCTAAATACTACTGATATAATTGAGTTCCCTTAGTTACTCTTCTAAAATTCTTTTCTGTTGGTTGGCCCTTCCAAGCGCATTCTAATTTATTGTCTTTCTAGAAGGCTGTGTTTGAACTGGTCTCTCATAAAGCATTAATTAGGGAGTCCCTTCTACATATCCTTATATATAAATTAGTTTGCAGTACTTCTAGTCAAATATTTGTGCAAATGGAGCTAAGTACTTAATGGAGAGTTTTATTAGAAAGGGCGAAAATGAATAGTTATGATGCCAGACATAATTGGTAAATGAGAATTGACATTCAGTGTTCTTCAATTATTTGGTAGAAAACAATAAAATGATAGTAGCTAGTTTATTATTTATTATAAATATTGGAAAGAAAATAACTTATAACTTACACACCTTCTAATTTATACAATCAAAGACTCTTCTGTGAAAGTATAGGATTTATAAAATGACTCTTTTTCTAAATTGGGGTTCTAAGAGCATGATAATTTAGTGAAATTATTCTTAGCTTTAGAACACAGGAGAATTCCCACTTTACAAACTATATTTTTAATGCCAAATGTAAAAAGTAAAAACTGTGTTTTTTCAGTTATTTGAGATAGGTCCAAATTCTAGGCTGAATATGTATAGGTAGAGTCACCTAGGAGTACTCAGGTAAAATCCTGAATGATTTAAGAGTAAAACTTGTGTTGGGTCTCGGTTTAACGTATTACTAATCAGCTATTGAACACCCAATAAATTCTTGAAATTCTGTTTACATAAATTAAGTTTATATTAGATTACTTGACGGATCAGCATACAATGAATATTGTTGGTGTGAAATTACAATGCCTTTGAAAAAGACTTTTTTTAAATTTGTGGCTTGTTAAATGAAACAATACTGTATTTTTTTAAAACTTTGCATGTGACGTTAGGATTAGTATAATAATCTCTAATCAATTCATAACCAGAATAACCAGAATAACCTTTAGAGAAATAGCTTAATGGTGATTAAAAAAAAAATTTTATCCCCTCTTCCCTCAATGGTAATTTTTTAGCAATAACTTTTCTGTTAACTTTTTATTCAGCTGAAAGCTCAAAATGATCGAGAAACACAAAGTATGGATGTTATATTTACTGAAAGACAAGCGTGAGTACAATCCAGTTAGAAATCAAACAGATTTATAAGTGACCTGTATAAGGTAGTTTAACTTCTGAGTCATTTATTTCTTTACAAATTTGGTTGTTTTTCCCTGTTGCATTTTTTTTACTTAAAAAAGTTGAATATTTGCAATATAGATTTTATTATTTATGAACCTATTATCTTCATTCAGATAAATAAAATTTCTGTGTGTAGGAGTTTAAAATCTAAAATAGATAAGAACATCTTCATCTCTACCATTTGTAATTTTAACCTGAGCTTTTTAACTAATTCAGAGTATAAGATTTAAGACCCAGTCTAATGAAAGATACCTTATTAGTAGGGTATTTACATTACTTCATTACTTGATTAGTAATTAATAAATAATTGATGTATTAGTAATCCTTATTGCAGATGTAGATTATATGTGCATCTTTATATATAACCTGGTTAGAGACCAAATACCAAGTAACTTTGACTTTGGTAATAAGGTAAATGTGGCAGTGACAGTAATGTCTACAAAGATAATAAGTGGATGTAATGTAGTTATTAGTCCATTTGGGCTGTTATAAACAAAATATCATAGACTGAGTAACTTATACAACAGGAATTTATTGCTCACAATCCTGGAGTCTGGGAAGTCCAAGATCAAGGCACCAGTATAGTCTTGTTATGCTGAAGGCCCTCTTACTGGTTCGGACCCAGCAAATTCTTGCTATATCATCACATGGTGGAAGGGGCTAGAGAACTCTGTGAGATCTCTTTTATAAGGGCACTAATCCCATTCATGAGGACTTTACCCTCATGACCTAAATCACTTCCCAACCTGCTAATACCATTACCTTTGGCAGTTAGGATTTCAACATATGAATTTTGAAGGGACCCAAATACTGAGACAAAAGCAGTAGTTAACATACTTATTCTTTATTGACTTTTTGACCTTAGTTATTGTCTAAGGTAGTGCAAACATAGAAGATGAACTATTTTGTACATGCACATACCACACACATTTTGTCCCGTAAACTTATCAATATTAGTATCCTTGACAGCAAGGGTAATAACGAAAATTATGAAATTTCTGTAACACCAAATGTACTGTCATGTTGCCTCTGCATGTACAGTAAATATTTGATGAAGAATAGGTTGTTAAAATATAAGGACAAAATATTTGAAAGATAAATGTAATTTTCTGTTGTTTAAAAAACAAAGGAATCTCTTTTCCCCATCTATCATTTGATGCTGCTAAAAAGTGCTATCTTAAAACTTACGAATATACTGGAAGTCTCTTCCCTTTTACAAAGAAAATTCCATATTCCAATTTTAGACACTCACTTGAAAACTTCCTTTTTGTTGTTGTTGTTGCTCTGGTTTTAAACCATTTAGCAAATATTTACCATTTGCTACATATAAAATACTCTCCTAGGTACCTAAACAATAAGAAATAATAAGCTATAACCCACTGAGGACATTATATAGTTTAGAACATTTAGGTCCTCATTTATTTCATAATTTAGCTACAAAGTTATATAATACCCAGATTAGGTTTATAAGTATTACATGTATATGTTTTATAGATATTTTATCCTAAAAGATAACTCCCAGATTATAAGTTTAAGTATGTCATAGGCTTTTCTGTCTATTTAGTTCATTTGGTTAAGGAAAAAACTTCTTAAAATACGGTACTTTGTCCTGAAATATCAGGAGTCTTGAACTTAATATCTGTAGTTTGTAACTAAGGCTGAGTGAAATAGTTTCTCCTGACTCTCTTAAGAGGAAATTTAAATTAAAACTAAGTTATTTTTATGAACTTTACTTGTATATACAGTAGGAGGATAGATTTATTTTGTGTGTTAATCAGATGGACAACATCTCAAAAACACAAGGATCTATCTTGACTCTATACGTTCAGAAGAAGCAGGAAATGCCATACCTTGAAAAAGCAGGAGTAGGAAACTTCTGTTTTCCTCCTCTTCTCTTTTAGTACCACCATTTGCTGTGGTATGACCATCTGGTTTATTATGAAACACCCATTTTAAGTAAATCGATTATAGTATATAGCCTCAATATGTTACTGTGACAATACTTAGACACCAGGCTTTAATTCAGTTTCACGTGCCAGCTTGAACTAATGATTCTCTTCTAATTCAAATGTCTACATTAGTTTGGTTTTAGCCAAAATCAGTTATCCTTTAAAAAAATATGTAATTATAATTTTAAAACCCATTTATTTTTTTTGTTTAGTCAGATATTTATTGAATACCCAATATTTAAATATAAGAGGCTTTTGAATATAAGTAATTAGATGTAGTCTTTACCCATTCATAATTATATTTTATCTTACCAAATATCTCAAATATTAATATTTGCCTCTTTAAGTAGGAAATGATATTTTGGTAAAATGATAGGTTATTTAGAAAAAGATGCTTTGTGTTTTTATAATTATCTCACTCATATTTGAGATTTAAAACTGTTAAGTATAATTTATTTATTAGAAATATTACACATAAAACATTTATATCCTTTATTGAAAACATATGTTCCTATACATACGAGCAAATACACATCTTAAATGAGTCAATTTTATTTCACATAGTGTATTGTCCTAAACAGTTTTTATTTTCCTCAGTAAACATTTGAACTGAATTTACTATTGATATAACCTTAAAAATGACTATTGTTAGAATATAACACATCTACATTATTTTTAGTCTCTCTTTTCTAAGAAACTACTAGGTACATACACGTTTTAAAAACTTTATGTTATAGAGGAACTTGAACATACACAAAAATAAACTAGTGTATTATACTCCTGTGTACCCATCTCCCAGCTGTATCAGCTTATATGCAACTCTGTTCTATCCACACTGCTAGCCACTGTTCCCTTCCCTGTATTATGATGAAGAAAATGCAAAATATTATATTATTTATTCCATAAATATATTTCAGTATCTTAGAAATATTCTTTTCTCTAAAAGGTATAGATAAATACACTTAACTTCCCCACATATGGGAGGTAAAAATAATAGATTTTGTTACAGTTCTTAATGCCACTATTTGCATTAAGTTGTTAAAATTATGATTGTAGCCAATGATTATAAGGAATTGGCAAATAATTCACTTTAGATTCTTCTATAATAGGCTCAAGGCCAGTGTTCTTTGGACCATTATTGTGCTATGAGCTACTTGTAGGCATATGTCAAAGAAAAGGTTTTGTTTTTAAGAAAGTTTGGAAAATTCTTAAAACTTTGTTCTTGAAGATCAGAGAGTGGTTTAACTTAATAAAGTCTTGGTTAAGTCCTATAGTAAAGAAGCTTGTTTCACTTTGTTTAAATCCAGTATTTCCTACAGTGATTCTGTATTAGTTTGACCATGTTCCTTTTTCCCCCAACCTGTAAATACTTCTAAATGTCTCTCTGGAAATTAATGTTCTAGAAAGTTTGGGAAACATTGCTTTATCTACAGTGTCCCAAAGAACTGACCATGGACCAACTGAAGATTCCTCAGCCCTAACACAAACTCATTTGAATAAAAATCTCCCAAAGAGAGGCAGAAATAAGTGTTTTTTTAAAACAAGATTCATAGATAATTCCCACTTTGGAAGCCACCATTTTATTCAATTGTGTTGACCATGCATTATGATGACAGTCTTTCTTTGTATCCAAAATCAATGGTAACTTATTAGAGATTGTGCCTGGACATTGTGCCTGTGTTTTAACTTGCTACTAACTTTTCAGAAATTTGTTGTGCCAATTCAAGAAGCATTTAAAAAAATTTAAAAAGCATTTTCCAATTCCATGTATTCATTCTATGAGCATAAAATCAATCTTAGTGTATTGTCAGTTTATACTACCTCTGTTCTTCCCTTTGACTCATGATAGAAATCCAAAATCTTTTTTCTTTATTGATACCAAGCAGTAAAACTTTAATATAATTTAATATGTACTACATCAAATATCTGGCTAATATGAGAATCAGTTCATTTTAATTAATGAACAATTTACTTTAGGCCTTTCCACTATTATGTATGGTCTCCTGAGTACTACTGAGAATAGTAATGCTAGTATTTTTAACTGCTAGCTACCAAGGAGTGGCAGTTGCTATATTTGGGCCTACTTGTACAATGCCAATGAGAAGAGAATAATTTTATAATATTTATATGTGTTGCAATTAATATGAAAGTCTTCTAGCTATAGTTCTCAGTATGTCACATATCAGAATCTCCTTGCCTAAACTGTGAGTGAGCTGGTAACATTTTTTAAAGAATCAAACTTTGAGAATTAATTTTCTTCATGTAATTCATGAGTATCTATATATTTGTCTTCAATAAACCCATCATCATCTATCACAAATGAATGTGGTTGTTCAAATATTACTGTAGTTTCTTCAGGATTTGTATCTGGTATCTGTGAAGGAGAACTTGGATTTCCGGTAAAACCATTTTCATAGGTTTCTGCTTCATGCTCTTCCAGGCGATGATGATTGTAACTTAGCAGAATGTTATACCATACTGGACATTTGATAGCAATAAAAATGAGGAGTGAAGTCATCAGTACGGTAACTACAACACCAACAAGCAAAGCCCAGCTTTTTCCAAGAGATTCATGTTCTTAAATGGAATACCGGGAAAGAGAGGGGGGAGAATTTTGTTAAATTGACCAAAAAAAAAAAAAAAATCATCATTGCATGTCCTAATAACTCCCCGATACTGGTATTAGAAATAAATGTACTTAATAATTTTCTTTAAGCAAAAGTTACTAAAACTGCAATAAATAAAGATATTTCATAGTGTGTGAAAGAATACCCTTTTTCAAAATAACTACCTGTCTTAGCAGGTATTGTTTATGCATTCACCTAGGAACTACTGATTTATACCTGTTAAGAATTGTAACTTGGGAGAGGGTACAGCTCAAGTGGTAGAGTGCATGCTTAGCAAGCAGGAGATCCTGAGTTCAATCCCCAGTACCTCCTCTAAAAATAAATAAATTAAGGAGACCTAATTACCTTCCTCC